CCTTTGAGTCCACTTTTATTTGCTTTATCACTTGAAACATTAGCTTAAGCAGTGCACCAAGCAGACAATATTTGCCCAATCTCAATTCACAATACTCGACTTTCTATATCTCTATATGCTGACGATATATTATTATTTTTGGAGGACATAACTAACTCTATTCCTCCATTGCTTACTATTTTTGATCAGTTTGGTAGAATATCTGGTTTTAGGATTAACTGGCAGAAATCAGAATTGCTACCATTCTCACTAAATAATGCTGGTGTAGCGGCTAACTTACCCATCTCGTTACTGGTAGTGCAGCACTTCAAGTATCTTGGGATAGAAGTATATGCTTCTCTGGAGGCTATCGTCAAGAACAATTTCATAGATACCTTTAAGAAAATTAAATATGATTTGGATAGATGGATGAATCTACCGAACTCATTACAGGTTAGTATAGCTATTATAAAGATGAATGTGCTACCTAGAATTAATTTTGTAAGTTCCATGTTACCGCTTGCTCCCCCAGCGGGAAGTTGGGAAAAATTACATAAAGACATTAACAAATTTATCTGGAAGGGCAAGAGGCCTCGACTGAAAACTCCTACTCTCCAGCGAAATAGAAGGGACGGAGGATTGTCATTGCCTAATTTTAAATTCTACTCCTGGGCTTTACCCTTTACCCACTCACTATATAGTTTAATCCCACGGCTAATGTCTCGTGGCGTACACTGGAGGAAAACATAGTGCATCCTTGGTCTCTCAGAGAGGTGCTGTTATCTAATTTACCAACTAAAATCTGCAAATTACAATTTGGTTCAATCATAGCTCACCTGATCTCAACATGGCATTGTGTGGAAAAGCTATGTAATATTAAAACTCAGTGGCATCTGAATACCCCAATTTTTAACAATTTTAGCTTATGAATTGGGGGCAGACCCATCCAATTCCCACAATGGAGAGATCGGGGGATTCATCTGCTTAGGGACATCTATGATGGAAATGGCCTGCGCACATTTCAAGACATCAAGTTTTGTTTTGATTTACAGAATACATCTTTCTTTTTTTACTTGCAGATTAGGGCTGCACTTAAGGCGCAAGGTGTACCTAATGATGTCAATTTATCTGAACATCCCTTGTTTGTGCTAATAGACAAGTTAAAACAAGGGGCGTGGTCACTACTATATACCAATACATTTTTAAAAATTCATATAAACCTTTAGCCCTACATGCAATATGGAGAAGGGACATACCAGATTGGCCAGTACACATTGGCCTACAACTCCCAGTCATAAACAGCCCAAGGAAGATGCGCTGGAACTGAAATACTAAACAAAGCGCCTCTCCCCACACATCCACACTCACACACACACACCTACAACCCCTCAGAAAACAAGAAAAAAAAAACAAAAAAAAAACATAATTGCTGAAGGTCCCTTCAGAATAACAGTTCAATGTGAAAACGAAATAATTCGCTCCACAGCAGTCACTCCAGAGTGGAAGGAAAAAGAAATAATGTACTTGATTTGGAACTTAATCCGCTGTCATCAATTCAGATTAAATCAAGAGTAGCCATAATAAAGTCTCGTAATAAAGTTAATGCTCTCCATGCTTTTCCAGTGAAGAGGCCTATATCCCGTTACCGCCTAAACTCTTGCTCTATGAAAGATTGAGCCACTCGTGGGGAGGTAAAGACTTTTACCTGATCCTTGTGATGGACATGCAGCTTGGCTGGGAAGCACAGGCTGTACTTTATGTCCCTCTCTCTGAGCGTTTGGGTCACCTCACGGAAACCTCTTTTCTGTGCCATCACCTCCGCGGTGTAGTCAGGGTAGTAAATGTAGACTCGGTGCTCGTTGTACATCATCTGTTGCTGTCGGCTCAGCCGTAGGATCAGCTCCTTCTCCTGGTAGAAGTGAATCCTTGCGATGATGCTCTCTTACCATCCGTGGGTTTAGGCACAGGGATGCGGTGCACCCGGTCCACCATCACGGGCCTGCTTACCCCAAGTAATTTAGGCAGCAATCCAGCGACGAACTCAGTGGGTCTGCCGCTCTCTTCGCCCTCCGGTATTCCCACAATCTTAATGTTGTTGCGTCTCGAGCGCCCCTCTAGATCATCAATCTTTGTTAAAAGTTTTTCATTGGCCTTTTTCATGTCTGTAACTGTGCATTCACACCAAAAGCGTCATGAGCGTCATAAGCGGCTGACCAGAAAAACGCACAAATTTCTTTATTGCAAAAGAAAACATAGCCTATTTCAGGAGAGAGTCTGTGTTCATAGTTAAAAATATAATATTTGAATATATAGGCTATACATCCTGTTTTCCTGTTCTGTTTCTATATTAATATATGGACCGTTTCATTGCTATTCTGTTGCTAGGGCAACAACTTTGGTCCCTGTTTACTTCCTGTCAGCTTCTGCATTAACATACATTCAAACAGGAATTACAAAGGGACCCATTTAGAATGTTTATATTGTCCGGTTTGAAATGGTCTATAGCCATTTTTACCAGCTCAAGAAAAATACATTGAAGTGAGTAATTCATTTACAGTGTGTGTGTGTGTGTGTGTGTGTGTGTGTGTGTATGCGTGTGTGTGTGTGTGTGTGCGTGGCGCTTTTGTTATGTTGATTTTTATATTGTAGGCTATTTGTGTTCTAACACTGTGAATTCTTTGCAAAAGTGCTATAACATTTATCATTGTTGCTGTTATTGTTATTATTAGCTGACAAGGCCAGTGTCAGTCGTGGAGTTCATGCAGAGGGACAGGATAATGCCAGTCACAGTGAGGAGGAGGAAGAGACAGATGAGGAGGGACAGGAGAAGGAGGAGGAGGAGATGGAAGAGGAGGTGGAGGAGAAGAAGGAGGAAGAGGAGGAGGAGAAGGAGGAAAGTGGAGCAGGAACCACCAAAAAAACAGTGCCAGGTACAAGTGCAGTGTGCAGGACTGGGTTGCCAATAGGTCTTTGCATAGAATTATGTTATATTCAATACACTCTACTGATTGACTAATCTGGGTGTGTTGTGTTTAATATCATTAGATTGTTTTTATACTGCAAATAAAGTATTCATGTTAAAATTACAGTTCCACTCGCGTCCGTCATGCGATCGGAAAAAAGGCCTCTCCAAATCAAGCTCCCGGGCTGAATTTCAACCCCAGCCCGCCCCTGCCACCAGTAACACCAAGTTTTAAGAATAATAACAATATTATATGAGTCACACTGAGCTAAACTGTTTTACATAAACAGCTGTTTTTGTGTCAGTTTGTTAGTAACAAGTTGCTATTAGCTGGAAAGTGCTCTGTGCTTGTTTATAACATAATATTGCTGTGGTGGATGAGAGACTTTGAGACTGATTGAAATATCACTTTTCTACTTGTTTACGTGTTGCTAAACAGGTGTTTTGATAAAGTATTGGCTTTTTCCTCAAGGAGGTTTTATTGTACTCATAGCAACAAGCGTAGCTGTCAGCTCAAGTTATCTTCACCTCTCTGTCTCCACCACGGCATCTTTACTCCGTTTTTGTGTGTCTGTGTGTGCGTAAAAGTGGCCCACGAGCCAGGATGCACAGACAGTAGGAGGAGACCCCGCAGCATGATATACACCCAAATGTAAAAAAGGTTGCAGATAAAAGAGCCGGTAACGTCAGAGCTTCTAAATACTATGGTCGTTCATAACTTAGCGCTGCGGCTCGTTTACTTCAGCGAGATTAATTGGGTTAAAGCTTCACACATCCTTAGGAAAAAGCGTATATTAAAAGATCAATCACGGATTTTATGAATCGATCATTCGGTCATTCCAGTGAAGATCAATTTGAATTTTTAACCCCGCTCTATTTCATAACTCATCTGGCCTAGAAAAGCCTTGGGGTCTGAAAGCGTTGCTGGGGAGACGGACGTCTGGGTGCTTTGTGCTTTGCTTTGCCTGCTGCCCCTGCGACCCGGTCTCGCATAAGCGGATGACAATGGAAGGATGGATGGACATATTTTTACCTGTTATACAGCTTTTCATGGGGTTACCTGACCCAGGGCAGGACTCTGCCTCACAGTTCTTCTCAAAGGTCAATATAGAGTCTGTGACTTTAACTTGATAGTTTTAGCTTTCTACACAGTCAACAGTCTGGTCTGTAATTTTAGTCTCATGGTTTGAATGATGTGTTCTGAACTCTTTGTCTTGGATATGTTTAGCCCCAAGAAAGACAGAAAATAATACAGAACAATGAATATATCTTTAATAAAAAGTTGGTTCTTCTTCACTTCTAACATTCACCTCCTGTTACTGCATATCGCTAACTCGGCTTTACTGCATGTCACTAACTCGGCTTCTTCTCCGGAGCCTTTGTGCTCCACTGTCTCACAGGTTAACTTGTATCGCAGCTATCATGTGTCATGGTTGTGCCACTGACGCCTCCTACTACTACTGTTATTACTAGTCATACTTCTACTGTTATTATACACATATGATAATTGTCACATACATATACTATCATATATTAATGTATACTTACAACATATTGTACCACAATTACCGTTACTGTTATTATAATATTATTACTTAAATTAATGTTATTGTAGCTATTGTTATTACTTTGCCATCTCTCTCCCAATGTATCATTTTGTCATATGGATTACTGCAAATTTATTATGTTGACTGTTCTGTATGACGTCTGTTGTACGTCTGTCCGTCCTGGAAGAGGGATCCCTCCTCAGTTGCTCTTCCTTAGGCTTATGTCATTTTTTTCCCTGTTAAAGGTTTTTTTTGGGGGAGATTTTCCTCATCTGCTGTGAGGGTCCAAAGGACATTGTAATTGCCAGAGGGACTGCCTCCAGCAGCTCAAATTACCTGAAATTTGGTCACACCAGGTGACAAATGTTTTATATTTTTAATAGTTAGTGTTAATAGGGGCTCTATGGTAGAATAATATGTCATACTGTCTCCCGTCTCAGTTCCATCCTTCCTGGTTGTCTTCACTGTATGTCTAACCATCTTCTTCTTGATGTAATCCTGGATCTGTGTAGGTGTTCATCTGCAGTGACTCAGTGGATGCTCGACAGCAGGTTATGGAATTAGCCCGCCAGCTCAACTTCCAGCCGGTGGATATGGGCACCCTGTCCTCTTCGCGGGACATTGAGAACATTCCCATACAGTTATTTCCTGGCTGGAAGGGCCCTGTCCTTGCTGCTGTGGCCCTGTCCATCTTCTTTTTTTCTTACTCTTTTGTACGAGATATCATCCACCCATATGTGAAACACAAGCAGAGTGACTTCTATAAGATCCCCATAGAGATGGTGAACCGGACACTGCCGACTGTTGCCATCACTCTGTTGGCCTTGGTGTACCTGGCAGGCCAGCTGGCAGCTGCCCACCAGCTCTACTATGGTACCAAGTACAGGCATTTCCCACACTGGCTGGAGGGCTGGCTGCAGAGCCGCAAACAGCTGGGCCTCCTGAGCTTCTTCCTGGCTGCTGTCCATGTACTCTACAGCCTCTGTCTGCCCATGAGGAGGTCTGAGAGGTACCTACTGCTCAACACTGCCTACCAGCAGGTCAGAGTGAAGGAAGGCTCCCAACACCACGTCCACACTTATACTCATACATTTGACATTCCACTCACACAAAGCTGGCATTTTTTAAACCAAAATTAAAGGAATAGCTCAATATTTTGAAAAATATGATTATTTGCTCAAGTTAGGGGATCAACATCAATCTGTTGTCTGTGCTTTAAGTACAGAGTGTTTAGGGTAGCTCAACATAAGGGTTAGGTATCATTTGAATTTTATTGATTCTGATTCCGATTCTTCTTATCAAATCCGGTACTCCAATACTGATAACAAAATATCCTTTTTCTTTTAAGTGTTAACTAAACATTCACAAAGTAATTAGAAATGTATGATCCACTTCCACACGGGCATTAAAAAACGTTGTGAATGTCAGCCTGCACTTATTGAACCAATGATGACTTGAGCTTTGATGGACATGCAGTAACTGTATTTTGTGTTACACTGGGGCAGCAGCATTGACGCCCTGTGGTAGACAGGTAACGTCACAAAAGGAAACCCACATTCACTCACTCTGGTCATCTTTCTCTTTAATGCCAAAATAAACAGTGGCTACGGTTACATGATGGCTTCTCATCCGGAATGAAATAAATCTGAATGAAATCATTCGGAATTAAAGTTTTTCCAGGTAGTTTACATGAGAAATATTCATTCCAAATGAGGGTTTTCACGGGAGATCAGTTTAATCGCCTTTATTCAGGTCTGCGCAAGATTTGGGGCAGGGAACGTTTCTGATTGGATAGGGGGCTGGGCGGATGTTACATGTTTACGTTTACCGGAAGAAAACACTGTAGTCCTCGCTCCGGATAACAAGATGCTTGACGACGCTGTTCTTAGTGCCTTTTTTGGGTGTGTTTTGCTTATATTCTTGAAGCAGCAGTACGACAACAACCTTGTTCTGCTAATGCTTCATCTGTTGAGGAGGAGAAGGGAGGTAGAAGACCGTGCTGTGGCGAATGGAAACTGGTGAGTGCAATGAGTCCAAGTGCTCTATCTCAGCCCTTTGCTATGCAGCCCGTTGCTATGCACACTATATACGTCATCGCGCCAGAAGGGCAAGGAAACGAGCATGCGCAGAGAGACCGGAATAAACTTAAAGAGGAATGAGTGTATACATGCACACAAAATTCTTTCATTCGGAATGACAAACGGAATAAACCACCCCCTTTAATTGGATTTAATTTTCAATCGGAATGACCATTTTTCAATCGGAATGACCGTTTACATGACCACTTTTAATTGGATTGGCCTTTCATTCCGATTAAAAGTGGAATTAAACTGTCCATGTAAACGTACTGAGTGTGCCGCAGCTTGCTGTCCCTAGCACTACTACATGTGCTTGCAATGTGCAGGTGCTGGTTGAGGCTGACATACTCGGGTTCGGAGACCGCAAGACATCAAACATGGTACACTCTAGGTAGGGCATTAACGACTTTGATTTTTTTCAGGTCGACTTATCTGTCAATAAAGTCTAAGTCGAGATGACAAGTCATTTGATGACGTCATCACATTGACACGGTGGAGGAAAGTGAAATATCTCCACACATGTGATGTGTGTGGCCCGAACATACTCGGGCGGAACGTATGCAGAACGGACTCTGCGGAGGTCGTCGGCAAGCCCTGTGCGCGCAAAGCTCAGATTTTACGACCGCACGGACTCCGCTCCGTGCACCAGTGACTGCTCGGCATGTATTTTTCACATCGCGGGGATTTTTCACGGACGTTTTTACAGGAAACTACAACGCGGAAGTGCGCTCGACTATGAAAGCCCGAATGACTGCGGACATTCCTCGCGGAATGTACTCCGCTTATAGTATACCGGAGTATGTTCAAGTCATGTTCGAGTCAAGGATAAAGTATCAGCGTAAGCCAGTCAGAGGCAGTGATTGCATTCCGTACACAAGCACACAGAGAGAGAGAGAGAGAGGGAAAAAACACACGACTTGTCGACTCCTCCCGGGGGGTGTCGACTTGTGCCACTGACGTCGACACTTCGACAAATCGACTTTTCTGTTAATGCCCTAGTACACTCATTCACATCGATGCCATGCTGCCTTAAGTGTTTAGTCAGATTTGAAGTGCAGCCTGACTTGCAGCTACTTAACTTCCCACATGCATTGCACTTTGCCGTGTTGTCTTTCTTTTACAATGTGAAGCCACACTTTCTGTGGTTCATCTTTCGCACTGTGACTTCTAGTCATGCATCATGCATCATGCATGACCAGGGGGAAGGTGCGGGTGAAGGTGCAACATTCAAAAATACACCTACGAAAACCTCTAAAGTTCAGCTGGACACAGCCTCCTGACATCACATTGAAGTCGCCAGGTTTGGGGCCATCAAGGCTGTACAAATCCAATCGACTGAGCTTGATAAAAAACACTAAAATCAGAATGTGTGCTCACCTGGATGCATATACTGTTTTTCATCAAGACGTACTTCTACTGCATGACTATCCCTAAAGCCACATTTGATTATTTTACATCTCTGTTTGTGTACACAATAAAAAGTATGTTATTTCCATGTCATGTTCCTTTAAGCTATTTGATAAGACAGGAGGTTCAAAATGGATTCATTTATGAATACACCTGTCAAATATTTTAGTATAGGCAGCAAAATGGAACTTTTTCATATCTGATCACTGCTTGTCATTGACATTTTTGTGGCAGCAATGTGAAGAGGCTGTGATGATCTCTGCAATTGCTTACCTGCATGTCATTGGAGTAGATCATTATTTTTGAGCAATGACATGACATGATTATCTCAATTTCACATTGCAATATACAGACTTGCACTGCGTTCTACAGGCTTTGGGCAAATATTACCAGAAAAATAAAATATAGGCAGAAGCAGTAATTCCAGGGTTCAAGTTAACACAGTCCATTAGAATTTGAAAGCTTGGTAGGATAAAGACCTTTGACAGTTTCCGACACCTGCATTAAAGATAACTGTCAAGCCATGCTCTTCTTTGGTAATGCTGTCACCCCCAGATGGTCAATCTGAAAACATTTTGGGCACATGTAGCAACAACGTCATTAAAAATATCCAGAATTTGGTGATGTTTGGACAAACCGTCACTGATTAATGGTCAAATTTGCAAAAGGCCAATGCACATTTTGAACTGGTGGTGCCCCCATTTAGCAATTTCAGAATAGTTTTACAAGCTTTTTTATTATTCTTTTAAATGCAAAACAAAATACAAAACATGAACAAAATAACACAAAGAAGATAAAATAGCAGTCAATACAGGCCAGTTAACAACATTTTGTCAGGGAATAAGAGGACAAGATTGTGTTGGTTGTTGAATAAATAAAAGAGAGAATACTAGTCTACCTTTACTGTCACCATTGTTACTATTACTAGCCATAATAAAAATAATACTGTACAGTATTTTTATGTGTTGTACACACACACACACACACACACACACACATATATATATATATATATATATATGTATATCCAGAGGGATAGTGAATATATCGGTAAAAGGACATGAAAGAGGACATCACAGCATCCTTTTACTGATATATTCACTATCCCTCCGGATAGTGAATATATCAGTAAAAGGATGCTGATGTTGGAACTGCCTGAACATGTCTGAACATATCCAAACCATCTCACTCCCAAAGAGAACCTCAACATCTTCATCTCTGCTACCTCCAGCTCTGTCTCCTGTCTTTTCCTCAGTGCCACTGTCTCTAAACCAAACAACATCGCTGGTCTCACCACCGTCTTGTATATTGTTCCTTTTAATCTTGCTGGTACTCTTCTATCACACATCACATCTGACACTATTCTCCACCCGTTCCAACCTGCTTGCACACATTTTTTCACCTCTTTTCCACTCTCTCCATTGCTCTGGACTGTTGACCCTAAGTACTTGAAATCCTCCACCTTCTTTATTTCTACTCCCTGTAACCTCACCATTCCACTTGGGTCCTTCTCATTCACACAGATGTATACTGTCCTGCTACGATGAACCGTCATTCCTCTCCTTTCCAGGGCATACCTGCACCTCTCTAGATTTTCCTCCAGCTGCTCCCTGCTCTCACTATAGATCACAATGTCATCTGCAAACATCATAGTCCATGGAGATTCCTGTCTAACCTCATCTGTCAACCTGTCCATCACCATAGCAAACAAGAAGGGGCTCAGAGCTGATCCTTGATGCAGTCCCACTTCCACCTTAAACTCCTCTGTCACACCTACAGCACACCTCACCACTGACCTATAGCTCTGATACATGTCCTGCACCACTCTATCATACTTCTCTGCCACTCCAGACTTCCTCATAAAATACCACAGCTCCTTTCTCAGCACCCTGTCATATGCTTTCTCTAGATCTACAAAGACACAATGCAGTTCCTTCTGACCTTCTCTATACTTCTCCATCAACATCCTCAAAGCAAATACTGCATCTGTAGTACTTTTCCTTGGCATGAAACCATACTGCTGCTCACAGATGCTCACTTCTGCTCTTAGTCTAGCTTCCACTACTTCCCATAGCTTCATTGTATGTCTTATCAACTTTATCCCTGTGTAGCTGCCACAACTCTGCATGTCTCCCTTGTTCCTAAAAATGGGCACCAGCACACTTCTCCATTCCTCAGGCATCCTCTCACTTTCTAAGACCTCGTTGAAAAACTTAGTCAAAAACTCTACTGCCACATCTCCTAGACACGTCCATACCTCCACAGGTATATTATCAGGACCCACTGCCTTTCCACACTTCCAGTCATTTGGGAGCACCTCCTGGCCACCCAGAGCCTGTCTCAACTCCTCCTTGAGAACCACACCACTCTCTTCCTTTTCAGCTTCCACCACTTCATCCTCTGCTCTGCCTTTGTCCTCTTCATGGCCATTTGAGCAAAAATTAAAATAAATTTGGATATTAACAGATGACAGAATATTGACTCTATGCCAAGCCATTTTTGACTTTTGGTCCTACAGTTTCGCTGCATGGTGGGGAAAAAAAATAATAAGGTGAAAGCAGAAGAAGAAGAGAGCAACAACAATAAAGCTCCAGCAAGGCGAGCTTAGCTGTTTGGATCCCTAATGACAATGAAAACAATAAGGTTTCAGGCTTCCAGGCCTGAATCTCTAATGATGGAATAGAGTTGAATTATACAGTTATACTGAATTATACATCCACATGGAAAGGAAGTCCACCCCTTTCAGTGGAAACAAATACACGTAGTGTTTGAAATACTCCAATACATAAACAGTACACATTACTTAAACACAATCCAATTCTGTGCACAATACATTAGATGTCTAGCATACATGGACATGTTCAATACATGCAATCAGCACACTAGTAGGCCTTCCCTGTAGGTACTGTGATAAATCTCTGCAGTCATAAATTCTGTTCCTGAGGGCCCATGTAATGTTTGTAGAAACTCAACTTCATTGAGCATTTGTGTGGGAATATACACCACTGAACTGCAATATCAGGTGCACCGGCATCATAATAGCTTTAAGGTGGGTCCAGTTTTTTTTCTTCTTTTTTTTTCTACTGAGTATTGGGGTAATAAAGTCCAGCTTAAGGACCTCAGTATTTCGCACTTTCATGTTGCATATTCCAGAATATTGTCAAATCAAGTGGAACATGATGATTGTGATGAAATGTATCTTGAGCATCCTCTCTGTTGGCAGGTCCATGCTAATGTGGAGAATGCATGGAATGAGGAGGAAGTGTGGAGGGTGGAGATGTACGTTTCCTTTGGGATCATGAGTCTTGGGCTCCTGTCGCTTCTGGCCATCACCTCCATTCCCTCTGTCCACAGCACTCTCAACTGGAGGGAGTTCAGCTTCATACAGGTATGAGATAAACCAGGGCTTTTGTAACTGGATTACTTTGGTACTGCAGAAAACCTAAAACCGTGAGAGTTCTCTGACAAGTTCTGGGGTTAGAAGGAGAGTCTTTTTCTATGATTTCAAGTGGATTTCTGCAATGGATACTACAGAAAATGATATCCTCAGATAGGGTAGGTCACTAAGAATATGTTTATCACATCTATATTTTAAGATTTGACTGAGCCGACAATTCATTTGACTAAGGTGGAAACTCACGCGTCTAACATAGCAACCAACTGGAGTGGCTACTGGAGCCACTGGTCAGACAAGGACTTAATGGTGCATTCAGGTGCACCTCATAAATAAATAAATAAAAAAAATGTATATATATATAAAAAATATATACTGGAATAACCACACATGTTGAAAAGTTCCCTTTTTTCTTCTCATTTTCATTTGTTTAAATACATACATCTGTCATTACTTTCTTGGTCTTTGAATACAGCATTTTTAATAATTATATGCTGAAAACCAAAATGTGTGGAAAAATCTCAGCACACCCCAAAACAGCAGGTGTGTAGGAGAGAGGCTGCAACCCCAAAATATATAAAAATCAAAAAAGGCTCCCGCACACTGTATCTGAAAAGAATTGTTAGGGAGAAGTGATGCTGATACTTAGTTTCTGGTGGCAACCTCTACAGAATGTCCGATCAGAGCACAAAAAAGAAACGGCATCCAGAGAAATGTTTATTGAGTCTTCACACCCACAACACAGAGTAATGAACTGTATGAATGGAGATACAGTGCTTATGCTAGGTACATTAATCCTTGTCTGACAAAGATATGATATGTGTGGTTCTGTAATAAAGAAAAGAAAGGAAAGACATTTGTCTAATGTAAATAATCTAAATAACCTTGTATAAACCGGTCTTCAGCATGGGCTATTAGCTTAGCAGTTCTACATGTGACCTTAAACAAAGCTAAACATGTTTAAACAAAGCTAAACATAAAGCTAACACATAGCCCGCACACATACAGCATGAATGGGGCTACACATAGCATTAGCTAGCCCATATGAGGCTAAACTGAGCCAAATCAATATTAGCATGCTAATCGCAATTAGCATAAATTAGCAAGTCAGCTAATAATAAAGATTAACTTGGTGCATTCAACTGACAGGATTACAGACTTGAAACTGACATATTAATCATTTCTATGCACAAAACTCACCATTAGATGCACGACCACCATCTTTAACAGTCAGCCTACAGCGGCTTGACTTTAACCTTGCTCTTGCTGTAATGACACCGGAAAAGGAAGGGGTCCTAATAAGAGCTTCAACTATATAGTGCCAAGAGATAGGTGGCCAATTAACTGCCTGACCAAATCACAATGAACAATACGAAGAAATGACCAGAAATAAAACAAACAGATGGGCTTTTGCACAGCCGCCCCCAAATCTGTTGTACAGATTTGCTTCTAAAAGTCCTTCTGTCCATGGTCGTCTGGAAATGCAGGCAGTTTGATCAGTCTAGCCACCGGTCGAAGGTAGGTGCGATCCTTCACTTGCACTTCTGCTGTCCTCACTCTTCCATCGGAGCCAGGGCAGACCGCCTTCACTATTCCCTTGGAGACTGAGGATCCGCAATCATTACCACTGTGCCAACGGTCAAGTCGTCTTTATCCTTTTGCCACTTCTGACGTGTCTCTTGTGCAGGCAGGTACTGTCAGATAAATCTGGCCCAAAACTGGTCAGCCAGAACTTGACTGTGCCTCCATCTCCTGCGAGTGAGCAGCTCCGACTCTGGGTAGATCACCTGGGGCAGAGAGCTGTCAGGCCACCCCATAAGAAGAGTATTTGGAGTTACAGGGTCCGGATCTGAGATGTCTGAGGATACGTAACCCAAAGGCTTGGAGTTAAGTATGCCTTCAGTCTCAGGACCATCCTGAGTACCTCTTCTGGCATGGTCTGTGCTCCAACAACAGTGTACAGTGCTGCCTTAATGGACCGTATTTCCCTTTCCCAAGAGCCGCCAAAGTGGGGAGCACTGGAAAGCACTGGTTGTACTGGAAAGCGATCTGTTGGGCAGTCAGCTGCTCCTTCAGAGCTGGTTGGAGGGCCTGAAATGCTTCCTTCAGTTCGTTGTCACCACCCCTGAAATTCGTCCCTCTGTCACAGAGAATCTCACGTGACTTTCCTCTCCTGGACACGAAACGACAGAGTGACATGAGGAAAGAGTCAGAGTCAATGCTGGCTAGTAGATCTATGTAGACTGCGTTGGTGGTAAGGCACTTGTACAAGATGCCCCAGTGCTTTTCTTTGCGCCTCCCCACTCTAATTTCAAAAGGGCCAAAACAGTCTATTCCGGTGGAGTAAAACGCTGGCTCATAGAGCCTCAGACTAGAGGGGGGCAAATCGGCCATCCTTGGGGAATAGATAGTTGCCGTTTGGGGGCCACTCTTGATCAGGCTGCAATGAAGGCAACTTGGGTGCATCCACCGTCGTCTTGGGTGCAAAGATACGCCACAGAGCTGTATGGCTTTTCAGACGCGTCGCAGAAGACGTGGACACTCCGATTGCAGGTAGTGAGATCCAGTTCTCCGGTGGTGTAGCATCTCGGCTGTGTAATTCGGAACAGCTGCAGGAGTTCCTCCACCCAGGAAAACCATGCTTGCAGGAGATCCTGAGGTAAGTCTGGATCATCCCATTCCCGTTTACGATCCCAGAGTCTCTGTACCAAGATCTTGGCCCTAGTGGTAAAGGGCACAATGAAGCCAAGTGGGTCATACTGCTTGGCGAGGATCCTGTAAATGCTTCGCATTGTGGGCTGCATGTCCATCTCCAGCTGGCCATGCTTGAAGCTGATGGTGTCTGACTCCTCTGGGTCAGCTGTATCTTGGTTGAACCAGAGTTCGCTGCTTTCTGACCTGGACTCAGGAGGCAGGTGGCTGATTATACTTGGGCAGTTGCTGGCCCATTGTCGCAGGTTGAAACCACCTTTAGCCAGGAGATGGTGAAGATCATCCACCAGTTGTTTTGCTTCTTCAGCAGTACATAGACTTTGCAGACAATTGTCTACATAGAAGCACTGTTCCACTGATGTGCGCAATTGATTTCCAGGTCCTGTGTGGTCAGTCACGTCTTTCTGGAGAGCAAATCAATCAATCAATCAATTATTTTATTTATAAAGCCCAATATCACAAATCACAATTTGCCTCACAGAGCTTTACAGCATACGACATCCCTCTGTCCTTTGGACCCTCGCAGCGGATAAGGAAAAACTCCCCAAAAAAAAAACCTTTAACGGGGGAAAAAAAATGGTAGAAACCTCAGGAAGAGCAACTGAGGAGGGATCCCTCTTCCAGGATGGACAGACGTGCAATAGATGTCGTACAGAACAGATCAGCATAATAAATTAACAGTAATCCGCATGACACAATGAGACAGATCTCACAGATAACCTATGTCTCACTGGTAAGCTATAACATATCGTGACATGGTTTAGATTCCTAAATAAATATTCACCTCGTCGCTAGATGCTCCTGAAAAACTCGAAAAACAGCGGGAGGGGTGAGTGAGTGAGCGCGAGTGAGCGCTGCAATCTAGAATTTGACCGCTGATGTCACTGTTACTCACCATTTTTACACACTGAGGCTTTAAGCAACGTTTCGGTCGGTGTGACCAATCAGAGGACTGGAGGGCTCAACATTTCTGATGAGCATCACCTGTCAGAGAACAACAGCAATCATTAATAAACAGCCACATCACAGTGTCTTGACTTACATTATATGAAAGCATTTTTAAAAAACATAGTGTCAAATGACAAAAAATAGAAATATACAAATAAGGGCATTTGCCAGTTTTCAAAGTTTTTATAAAAACATTAATAGTTTAAAGTACAAAAATATTTTAGATTTTCTAAAGACTGTTGGCAATAGAACAAATAGCAAATATCCACATACTTGTAAGTGAAAAAAATATATGTATCAAGGCTGAAGAAAGGAGAGAATTTTTTCAGCATTTCCAACAGCCCCAGAATGCACCATCCGGGGCAGGCGGAAAAACAGCAAAAAATGCTCCAAATGGCTGACTTTCCCTGCAATAGACCAATACAACAACCAGGTAAGACAGCAGATAAGCAATAAACCTACAACATTACATTAAACGATAACTCATCATTCAATCTTTTTGGAGACAGTGTCTGTAATGTAAAAATCCAGAATGCTTCCCTTCTTTTTAGGAGCAAGTCGTGGTCTCCACCCCTAGGTGGCAGCGAAACCTGTCCGATCCCATGCTAATGAACGTGATTGGATTTCACAATCCGAATTTGACTTTGTTTTTTGTGAGCAGCCGATCAGACCAGTATTTTACACACTTCCTAAATTACATAAATCACTTACTGATCCCACTGGCCGCCCTATAGTGGCGCAAATAAATTCATTACTCGCTCTTTTGTCGGAATTTGTTGACTCTTTTATTAAACCAGTTGTACAGACACTACCTGCATACTTAAGAGATTCTACAGATTTCCTGAATAAAATCTCTTCTGTAACTGATTTACCTGAGAATGTTTACCTGTTAACACTAGATGTTTCCAGTCTCTATACCAACATACCACACAGTGAAGGTCTGCATGCATTGAGCACCTATTTGGAGAACCGAGATAATGCAGAAAATCCTCCTCATCAGTTCATCATCTCATCTAGTTTAGTTATGAAGTACAATTATTTCAGTTTTGATAACGATTTCTTTCAACAGACCTCTGGGATAAGTATGGGCACTAGGGATGTAATGATACCAGAAACTCCCGATACGATATTATCACGATAAAGAGTCCACGATACCATATATATCACGATATTTATACAAGGGATAAAAAAGAGACAATTTATTGTTAAAAATAGCTATTTTATTCAAAAATATTGCATGTACACTGTACAGCATGTTATTTTTAACTTGGAAGCGTATCATAAAGTATCATAAACAAATCAACACAGCTGAACATGTGCTTTCATCAAATAGA